CACATGATTTAATCTATGAACAATTTCAGTTTGGCCTATTTGTCATTCAAGGTGTGTGCTCAATTTAGAATGGCTTCTGCTCACTCGACTCTCTCTCACGTGCTCAGTGATTAAATATTTAGATTTACAGCAAGCTCTTGACACCACCATAAAAAAGGCCACATTTAAAAGAACTGCAAAGTGCCATAAAGACCTCAGAAAATCAAATACAATCTTGAGAAACACTGCCATTATATGGGAAGACAGTATAGTGTATATTTTTATTTCGTTTTGTTGTGCTGATTATGTATACTGAGTTCTCATAAATGAAAAGAAGTCATACGTTCTAAAAAAATATCTGTCAAAGTAGCCTAGGTTTATATGCATCACACTGTTTTCTTTAACAATGGGTTCAATTTGAATTTTGATATAAATAATTAATAGAAAATTGGGGCCATTTGGGGAGTTAGTCCATGGCAAGTTTTTCTAGTTACAAGGAAGCATTTAATTTATACACTTTTATTCTAATAAAAGATGCTAGTAGAGGAAAATAAAATACCAAACGTCAGTAAATGTGATGTTAGCAAATATAATTTCTATCATTCACATATAAAACAGATGGTATGTAAGAATTAATATATTTGAACATCAGCCCACTTAGAAATATTCTCTAGATTTATTAATTTTTACAGTGCTTTCTTCACATGGGTCAGCTGGAAAGTCTAAATAGTTGTTATACATTAAAAATATAATGTTAGCTGCAGGTAATTTTTAGAATCAACTCAATCTTTTACACCAGTTTAGGTTCCCCTGTTACTTCCTTTCATAAAATCCTGTTTAGCTCCTTCATTTTATTTGTTAAATTATAATAATTCTCTAATTAATTGTGTAATTTTTGTTGTAGTGCCTTTCCTGTTACGTTCTGGACTCCTTGAGAGCTGAGACTATGTTTCTTGCTCACTATGCTAAACTTAATATTTAGTCCAGCGCTTAAAACATAGGTCTGTTCAAAAAAGATGTTCTTAATGGATAAAGGACTGAATGACTGGCACCAGCGCTAGGCAAGCTATGGCTCAACTCCAGCCCATTGCCTGCTTTTCACTGTCTGCAAGTTAAGAAGGTTTTTTCCATTTTTAAATAAATCTACTTTTCAAATGGTTATATAAGTGCCTAAACAGTAACCTCAGTTTTGCCTGTTGGCCCATAAACTCTACAATATTTACTATCCGGCCCTACGAGAAGAAAGTTTTCTGACCCTGATCTGGACCAGCACCGTTCACTAGAACTGTTGTGATGATGGGAATGCTCCATAGGATAGCCACGGACCACATGTGGCTGGTGAGCACATGAAATTTGTCTGGTGTGAGCACGGAACTGAATTTTTAATTTTATTTCATTTCATTTTAACTGATTTAAATAATCCCACGTGGCTAGCAGCTAGTGTGTTAGATGGCAGCAGACCTAGAGATACAAAAGAATAAACCTCATGTGAATACAGCAAATAATTACTCAGAGATCAAGTATATCCGCAGAAAAATATAAAAATATGCACTAATCTAGCTGTTTAGTTAGTCTTTCTGGCAAGAAAAAAAAAAGAATATAAAAATAAACTGAACTATCTACCGCTAGTTCATTAAAACAACCAATGTTATGACAATACTTTTAAAAAGCACAAAGGTAAATATTAATTCATTTAATTTGATAGTTACACAGAAGCTCGTTTAAAATAAGTGGTGGTTCTTCATCCTATGAACTGTAGTTGAGAAAAGAGTTCTTTTAGATAAGGAAGATAATGTTAATGTTCTATGAACAAATAAATGAAGAATATTGCTTTAATGAAGATTTTAAAGTTTTTCTTTGCTTTATTGAAGGACACACCACTTATCTGCAAAGAAATTCTTGAAATACATAGAATTCTATTAAAGCAAAACGTTCTATAGAACAGTAGGAAGACATTAGAGCCCATAAACAAGTAAAATCAACGATATAATCTGATGGTATCCTCAAATAGCATTAAAGTAGGTATTAAGGTGGATTGAGGGCTTCCCTGGTGGCACAATGGTTAAGAATCTGCCTGCCAATGCAGCGGACACAGGTTCGATCCCTGGTCCGGGAAGATCCCACATGCCGCGGAGCAACTAAGCCCATGCGCCACAACTACTGAGCCTGCGCTCCAGAGCTCGTTAGCCACAACTACTGAGCCCATGTGCTGCAACTACTGAAGTCCATGTGCCTAGAGCCTGTGCTCCACAACCAGAGAAGCCACCGCAATGAGAAGCACGTGCACTGCAATGAAGAGTAGCCCCTGCCTGCTGCAACTAGAGAAAGCCTGCCCGCAGCAATGAAGACCCAACACAGCCAAAAGTAAAATAAATAATTTATTTTAAAAAAATGGATTAAGAAGATTCAAATTGCAATGTGAAGTTTACAACACCCACGTTAATAAATGATTTCAAGTCTTTAAGTTGAGAAGCTCTTAAAAGGAAATCTGAATTTTGTGCTATTTAGCATTGAAATTGTTTGCTGCTCTTATTTATAACACGTGAAGTTAAAATAAAAATTGGAGTAATCTCCTTTTCTTGCTTATGCTGTTTCTGACATGTCTATGTATGAAATAGTATCTCCCTGAGTAAAACTACTTTGGCTGCCCTCTTATTTCAAATGATTTTATCATTAGGGAAAAATCTGAAATCACAGTGGACAAATAATCCCTTAATGCTTTTCCTGGCTAGCAAGTAATTTGTCAAAACAATCCAATTTCCAAATGGCATACAAAACCAATAAGATACTGAGCCAATACATCTGTTCCTCTCTGTATTTAGAGTATGGACAAGTGCCTTTCATTTTGGGTGGAAAATCCTGATTTTGGATTCTTTAACATGACAATTTAGCTCTAGTAACAAAGTATCATTTATCATTTCTCTTTGATAAAACTTTAGAATTTTTTAAAAGTCGGGTTTTATTGAGATACAAGTCACATGCAATAATATTCACCCTTTTAAAGTGCAGTTCAATAAATTTTGACACACACGCAAGTTGTGTGTTCACCACCCAAATTAACATATGGGACATTTTCATCACCCCAGAAAGTTCCCTTATGCCCCTTTGTAGGCAATTCCTCCCTTCACCCACAGCCCAGTGGCAACCAGTGACTGAACTGTTTTCTGTTTCTACAGTTTTGACTTTTCTAGAATGTTGTATAAATGACATATAAATACAGTATGTACAGCAGGTGTCTAGCTTATTTTGCTTAGCCACTTACTGTAATGCTTTTGAAATTCATCCATGTTGTTGCTGGTATCAGCAGTTCATTGCTAGCTGTTGCTGAGAAGTATTTCCATTGATGGATTTTTGACTACTATGGATAAAGCAACAATTAACATTTGCTGTATGGACCTCTGTTTTCATTTCTCCTAGGAAAACATCTATGGAATTGTTGGGTCATATGGTATGTTTAACTTTATAAAAATCTGTTCTCCAAAATAACCATATCATTTGCATCTCCATCAGCAATCTTTAAAGCTCGGGTTGTTCTACATTGTCTCCAACAGTTAGTATTATCAATCCTTTTAATTTTAGCCATCCTAATGGGTGTGTAGTGATTATCTCCTTTTAATTCATCTTTTCCTGTTGATTAATCATGTTGAATAGTTTTACATGTGTTCATTGCTGTTTTCATATCTTCTTTGGTGAAATATTTGTGCAAATCTTTTGCCTCTCTTTTTGCTGAGTTTTTGTTTTAATATTTACATACTCTGCCGATAAGCTCTTTATCAGAAACGTGCTTTGCAAATAGTTCTTACCAATCTGTATCCTGCTTTTCATTTTCTTAAGTGTCTTTTCAAGAGCAGACATTTTAAATTTGATGAAGACCAATTTGTCAGACTTTTTGCTTATGGTTTATGTTTTTTTGTATCCTAAGGAACCGTTCCTTAACTAAAGTATTTTCTCCTACATTCTATTCTAGGTTTTTAGTTTTCTCTTACATTTAGATCTAAAATCCATTTCAAGTAACCTTTTGTATGTGATACGTGGTAAGGGTTGAGATTTTTTTTTTTCATTTTGATACCTAATTATTTGTTAGCACCACTTGTTGAAATGAGTGTTTTTCCCCTGGAATAGCTTTGACACCTCTGTTGAAAATCAACCGCCTATAAATATGTGGGCCTATTTCTTAACTCATTAGTTTGTTCCATTCACCTATTTAACTGTCTTTAAACAAATACCACACTCTTGATTACTACAATTTTATAGTAAGCCTTATAAAATTTTACATTTTAAATATATAAAGGAATACTGATATCCTTCATAAACCTAAGTACTCCTGAAATAGTTGTTTACCATATAGTGTAGGTAGAGGCTTACATTGATTTGGGGCGATATCATTCCTCTAAATATGGAAGAATTGCTGTTCATAGTTGTTATTTTAGGTGGTCTGTTTTCCTGTGTTCTACAGGTAGAGGGTATACTGAACCCAGGGGATCCACAGATAGAATTCAGGGCATCCATGATCGTGGATCTTGGAGAAAACCTATTTCTTTATTTTCACTAACCTCTGATTGAAATTCAGTGTTTCCTTCTATTATAAACGTGGACAAAAAAACCTCAGTATGACTGGCAGTACCTGAAGCTCTTGCCAATAGAAGGTGCAGATATTTTCATGTCACATTACAGCTGTGGTCGATATCTTCAAATATTGCTCACATCTATTTTTACTTCAAAATCATAGTAGTTTTTATTATTTATTTTAAAATATTTGTTTGTTTTTGGCTGTGTTGGGTCTTAGTTGCGGCACATGGGATCATTCCTTACAGCACGCAGGCTCTTCGTTCCGGCGCGTGGGCTTCTCTCTAGTTGTGGTGACTGAGTGGGCTCCAGAGCATGTGGGCTCTGTAGTTACAGCACGTGGGCTCTGTAGTTACGGCACGTAGGCTCTCTAGTTGTGGCATGTGGGCTTAGTTGCCCTGTGGCACGTGGAATCTTAGCTCCCTGACCAGGGATCGAACCCACGCCCCCTGCATTGGAAGGCGGATTCTTAACCACTGGACAACCGGGGAAGTCCCCATAGTAGTTTTTAGAACTGCTACTTGATCTTGTTATTTAATGAGTAATAAACACACATATTACTAAATTATCATTTTTAAAAGCTCTGTTGTTAACTATCTCTATATGATTTGCTTCCTTTGTCAAATTATGTATTTTACTATATGTTAAAAAACACTGCTTGAGAAGGGGCCCAAGGGCTCTCTGGCATAGAAATGGTTTAGCTCTGCCCTTTGTATTCCCATTTCATAGACATACTGCTTAGGCTGTCCTCCAGCCTGAGAGGTCCATTCAGAGTGTCTTTTATGCTTCAGTTTAGAACACTGCAATATTACAAGCTTTGGGTTATTTCATCTTATACCATATATAATTATGATATATAACATATTTTATATTATAAAGGTTCAATAAACCTTAATTAAACATGTGAGACTGAACAATGCTCCATGTCAGAATCTGGAGATTCAATGGTGTTTCTCACGGTTCCTGCCTTTGAGTCATTTCGGCCCAGAATTGCAGGCAGATAGGAAGTAGGCCTGGCAACGTACTGTTTGTGTGCTCGCCACATGGCAGCCACCTAGATGACGTTCTTACTCCTCGCCTGGGTGGCGGTGGAGGTATGGGCAGAATATCAGCCACTGCTTCTCACAGGAATTGACACATATGAGGAAACCTAGAGAACAAGAAAGCATTAACCAGAATGGGAAGAGACTCACACAGAGGAAACCTGTGCAAGCATGAAACTTACCTCTGCCTGCAGCCTTGGGGCAGAGGAATGGCCAACGGGGGAAATATGCATGGCCTGCCTTCCAACTCCCCCGGATGTGTCCGGAAGACAATCCTTCTCAGCATGCAGAAGTCAAGCGGCTTCCCACTCTTGATGAGAATATTCAGCTTGCATTTACTATTTTATCCTGGCAGGCAAAAGTTCTTTCTCTCAGGCTCCCTCTTCCCCCCACAGAAGTTACTAGGTGCAAAGCCCTTGGCTGACGCAGCCCTTCCGGAAGGGCCCCTCCTCACTTCTTGTGCCTTCCTCAGCGCCTCTTCCACCCAAGAGCTCTCTCAGTGTGCATCCTTTGGCTTCAGTCAGTTCCTTCCCTCCTGGACTAGTGAGTGGTACCTGAGAGCGTGCTTAGATACCATGGTACAAATGGGAGGGACACCTGCGGACAGGCTCACCATCCCAGTTTCTCCTTCAACACTTCAGCCCACGGGACCCAGTCTAGAGGGGTAGAGGTCTTCTCCCACCTGGATTAATTATGAAGAGACATTCCCTCAAGGCTTTCCTCAGCCGGCCAGCAGCAGGGGCTGCTCAGCTAGTGAGGCACCAACTGACTCTCCAGCACTGTTGGCAGCTGGGACAGAGCCTTTCCTGCCTGTGTCTGCTGGGGCACTGGGACCATTCCTTTGTGATGGGCTTTATTTTTCACTTTGTTTACCAGGGTCTAAATGGAGCAAATTCCACCCACACATCTTGGTAAGATAGGGGTGTAGATGAAAAATCTTTATATTTTTGAGGGATTCTGTTTACTTGAGGAAATTGCTTCATCTTGCTCAGTTATCCTTATGGGAAACAGGCTGCCTGTCTTTGAGGGGCTCCTGCTTCCAGTTGCTGAAGTGATATTATACTTTCTGAGGAAGAGGATGGTGCTCTTTCTTGCCCTCTGTAGGAGAGGGTTTTTTTTGTTTTTTTGTTTCTTTTCTTTTTGGAGAACATTTTAAATTATGACCATAAAATTTCATGGCTTTACTTACTGGGCATTATTCGATTCTCTCAGAGGATAGGCTAGTTTCCTTCCCCCTGGAGGATCAGTGTATTCATTTCCTTCCTTTCCTCGCCAGCATGCTCTGAACGCTTTCACTGCTAGGCACAGGACAAACAGTAAAAATGATAGATTTCCTGCCCTTCTAGGTCAAAGAGAGGAATACAAACATTTTAAAATTAAGCACGATAAAGTGATATTGATGCTGTCACAGTCATCTGTGCGGAGTACCACTGGGGCATAATAAAAGAAGAGTATTTAAATGTGGGGGCAGGCTCATAAATACTGAAGGAGAACACAGGAAAGTGTTGGCAGGAAGAGAAAGGGATGCTAGCCTTCCTGGAAGAAGGATCGGTGAGAGCAAAGTCCAGATGGAGGCAACACTTGAGATGCCGTGGGAGTTGCAGCAAGTCTGGATCATTTGAAACTGGGGTTAGATGGAGTGCAGAGAAAGACTATACGAATGAACTAGGCAAGGGAAGCATCATGGAAGATTTGGATGCCCTGCTTAAGAGTTTGGATTTTCCTGTTGGAAAACTGGAAAGCCATAGAAGAATTATAAGCAGGGGTAGGACACTCATGCCAAGGAAACCAAAGGGCAGTTATGAGGCTCTGAACTTAGTAGCAGTGGGACTGGAGAGGAGAGGCAGTGAGGAGAAAGGTAGGAGGTTGAATGAACATGACAACGTTCCAATGGATTGCAAGGAGGTTATAGTGGTTATAACCTATAAACTATATATATATATATAAACTATAACCACTAGGGTGGTTATAGTTTTCAGCTGAAAGTTTACTTCACTGAAAAGGAGTATTAGAGGAAGAGTAGGTTTGACCGGAAGTTTAATTTTAGACATGTTGATTTTGAAGTGCTGGTGGAATGCCCATGGGAGTGGCAGTGTCCATCAGGCAGATGAATAAACAGGTCTAGAGCTCAGGAGAGAGAGGTAGCCTAGAGAGGTAGCCTAGAAATTCAGATCTGAGCACCATCAGATACAGGTCCTTTTGGGAGCCAGGACCATGTCCCATGGAAAGTGTGTAGAATGAAAAAGGCCCAAGGACAGAGCCTTCAATGGAAAAGACTAATACTTAAAGGACAAATAGAGAAGAGGCTTCAAAGAAGGCAGAGAGAGAACAGATAGTGGAAGGAGAACAGTCTAGGAGCAGTGGCTCTTTTGGCTTCTGGGAAGCAACTCTTGGGGGTCAGATGTTCTCTCCATCTCCCTGAATCTTACGGCCTTCCTGTTTCTGTGTATTGACTTTATCTCTTCTCTCTAATGACCTCTTTCTCTGCTCATTCAGTTTCTGACCCTCATAACTTTGGCTTCACATGGTCAAACACTGCCCCTAGAATCTCTTTATATACCATGACTTTTCAACTTCCACCCCATACTTTTGTCTATTTCAAACTCCTGAGAAAGGGAGAATCTGACAGGTCTAACCTCTCTTCAGGTCACATCAAGGATCTAGGTTGCCTTGACCAGGTGTGTACTCATGCTCCCATCACCAGCGGTCCTAAGAGTCTTGGGTATAAAACATGGCTGTCTGTGTTCACCCCTTTGACAGGAGATATGGGCAAAGAGAAAAAAAATGTGGTTACTTAGGCTGAATGATATCTGTAGTTTTAGAAAGTTTACGGAAGGGGTTCCTCAACAATGGCAGACACGGTAATATAGTCAAGAAAGTATCCTGTGGATCTGGTGGTGTGGTTGCCAGTTGCTGGGATTGGGGGAGGGATCTGGTTGCTGTGAGTTGGCAGTGAATGAGGGAAGGAACTGGAGACATAGAGCTGTGGCTTCCCCTTAATCAGGATTTTTACTTCAAACTTTATAATATAAAGGAAGGGGGGTGATGTTGATACAGGACAGAGTCTAGTGGTGGTTGTCCTTTCTTTTCCTTCTCAAACATATGATTATTATTTAGTTATTTGCCCTTGTTCTGTACTAGAGCAGTAGGTTTGGACCTATGAACACAGATAACAGAACTACACTTAGAAAAAGGAGAAGGGATCCCTTTGAATAAGACCGTGGGAGGGAGGGAAGGAGAAGTGATGTGGGTAAATTGTAGGAAAGGTAAGAGTTTGGCAAAGAGCACTGAAGTCCACTCTGCAAAGTCTTTCCCCCTTCACTCCTTCACTTCTCTCCTCCCTAAGAGTTAACTGATAATTGAATGATTCTGCAGATTCTGAGATAACCACAGATCCCATAGAGAATCCAAAGTAGGGTAACTGTCCTGGTCCTTTAAGACTGAGCAGGCTCTGCTGTTGAGGGCAGCACACCAAGGAAAGCCAGGCTGCTAGTAGGCTTCCTTTATGGTATAGCTTTCTTTGGAATGATCTGTAATGCTGATCTATCAGCAGGGGTTTCTGTCAGCCCTACCAGCATTCTGGGGCAGCCCACCCAGTCTGCATTCTGTCCCTCAACCTAGCGATGGCCATGGTGTCATGGGCTACTTATAAAATATCACAGAACTCATTGACTCTCATTATGTAAATTCTCTCATTGACTCTCATTATATAAACTCTCTCATTATGTAAATAAAGGAACTGAGACCTGAAGAGGTGAAGTGACTTGCCCAGGGTCACATACTTGGTGGCAAAACCAGGAATAGAACATAGGCTTCCCAATTCAAGGCTCAATGTTATTATTATTATTGTTTTAGTGTGATCATTTTCCCATTAACTGCTTAATATCCTGTCAATATCCATTATGTGCTCAATGAGAGTCCTGGTTTTTCCTGAGAAGGTGATATTTCAGATGGGTTGTGAAACGTGAGCAGAGCTCACCAGGCAAAAAGGTAAGGCAAAGGGTTTGACTTGGGCTAAGTGTGCAACATCTACTGCCTGGGATGAGGTAATTATCATGTGCAGAGACAGAAAGTGACCATCGGAGGCCTCTCATGGCCTCTGTTTGAAATACCAAAAGCTTGGACTACATGCCTTCACCTGGCCTGAGTGGACAAAACACATGCACCACCCATCATCTTGTCCGCTCATGCTCTTACATGTAACCTACTGTGTTCTTCCCCCTTCTCACTCATTCTCCCATTGCTGTGGTCCTTTCCACCATGGGCTTCTGGAAATCCTTATTTAGAGAAAACCAATGACCCTATACTATCACCTTATTCACCAAACACCTACCACCCTGAAGCTTGGTTAACTCTCAAGGAACCACTTGCCAATCTCTCCAGTGCCGGATGCTTATTTTCTCACATCACATGGACCGTGAGGCGAGGCTGGGAGGCTGAGTGGAGGAGAGAGGGGTTAGCCTTCCCCCTGGTCCCCACTCCCCATCTCATCGTAAATTCTCCACTGTTGAATAAAAGAAGCTGGATGTTAGCTGGCTATAGCAGTTGCCATCATTTGTCTTCTAAGAAATTCCCAAGAAGATTTAACATTTGTCTGTTGTCAACTAATGTTATTTTCCTAGATAATCTCTCTGAATGACATTTTTTTCAACATTCTTCTCTTTCTAGATATTCTTCCTCAGTAACCCCTTGAACGGTCAGGATTTAAACAACCATTAATAGATCTTCAGCTCAAAGTTTCCTATGGGTTCCAGGTTGCATATTGGATATCTTCAACATGTGGGTATTATCAGACACAGCATATCCAAAATTGAACAATAAGCAACCCCTTAGACCTTTGTTCCTTCTTAGACTTTCTTCCTCAGTAAATGGCTGTGATACTCAGCTAGTCACCCAGGCTAGAAACTTGAGGGGAGGTGAAGGGTGAGTATCCTAGACTTCATTCTGTCTCACCTACAATATAGAATCAGTAACCAAGTCATGATAATTTTACCTCCTTGACTTAACTTTTTTCTTTTCCATTTCTACTTCCTCTGCCCTAATCAAGGCATTATCTCTTTTCATTTAGGTTTTTGAAATGGGGTCCTAACTGCTGCCCTGGCCTTCAGCTTGATTCTACTCCAATCCATCCTGTAGGCTATATAGTCAGAGCGATTTTTCTAAAATAGAACTATAATCACATCACTCTCTTCCTAAACTCCCTCAATGAACCTTTTATGCCTTGAGAGGAAATGTATCTCTTTGGCATGTCATTCACGGCTTCCAGGCCTAGGACCCTGTCAACCTGTCTGGTCTTATCTCCGTACTCACCATTCACATTAAACAACTTTCAAGCCCCTAATGGAGTCATGCTCTCTCATGTTTTTACAATAATTGTTGCTTATCCTTATTGAGACGTTACTATATACAAGGATCTCTATTACTTGATCTCTTTCTGCTCATAACTGCATGTGGTTACTGTTTTTCCCCCAGTTGACAGATGGAAAAACTGAAGCACAAATAAGTTAACTAACCTAACTAAGGTCACACAGCAAGTGAGGGACACAACTGGGATTTGAACTCTGATCAGTCTCTCTAGAACCCATTCATTTAACCACTATTTATAGCACTATCACTCTGTCCCTCCTCCTGGAAGACCCTTCTTTCTTCCTTCACTTAGCTTACCTCATACTTATCCCTCGGCCATTTATTCTGGCTTCTGCTTCCATCAAAATTCTGAAAAATCTTTCACAAAAAATGTCAATGACGGACTTCAATGGGAATTTTCCCGTTCTCTTCTTACTGGATCTTTCAAATGCTTCCAACCATTGGTTACTCCATAGGCCTTGAAATATCCTCTTCCTTGATTCACATGATGATCTGCTCCTGGTCCTTCTGCTTTATCTCTGGATGTGCTTTCGCAGCCGCATTTGTTGTTCACACTTCTCTACAGAAACTTCATATTGGAGTTTTAGTTTCTCCATTCTTTTCTCCCTACGCTTTTTGCACTGAGTGATCTCATCCATGTTCTAGCTTCAATTTCCATCTATACGTTGATAACTTCTACATTTGTATCCATGCTTTCCCTTTGTTCTACAGACCCTTTTAGACGTGTTTCTTTAATATTCCTTGAATTTCTCAAAAGTATCCTGCACTCAACATATCTGAAATGGAATTTTTAGTTTTCTCCCCAATATTGCTCTTCAGTGTGCTTTAGCACCACCTTCCACCTAGAGAAACAATCAAGAAACTTTTATAGCCCATCAACCAAAGGGCACTAAGAACAAAACTGTAGTCCGAACTAGATTTATTTCACTGACCGCAGCCGGGGGGCATGCACTCCAGGAGAATGGGGGGTTGTCTCAGTAAGAGAGAGTTTTTAGGAACTTCTTATAGGATTTGGGCTTGTAATGCATGGTTGTAGGAAGGATTTAAAAACATGAGGTCCAGTTTTGAATTGGAGGTTGTCAAAAAGCTAGGGAAATTCAATAACTGGTCTTACTTATTCTTTTTTTTAATATAGAAGGCAGGAGGATTAAAGTGGGTTGAGAGTAGTCACTGCTATGAAGTTGGAATTACATGTTAGCCAGAAGAGAGATGTTGAGAATGGGCTTGTCTGTCTTGTTCCAGACATGTCACTGAGTGGCCTTCTCTGAATATTGTCTATAATTGTCATTTATTTTGAGTTTTAGTACCTCCCAGTTTTAGTTAGATGATTTTGGAAAAAGTGATTTTAACTCTCAGCTTTAATTTTCCAATATAAAAAAATAAAGCAAATATCTATTACTATTTGGAGCAGAAAATTCAAGAACACTTTACTTATGATTTTAGTTGTACACATATTTCCCTTCATTTTAATAATGAAACTCTTTTTAGGTGTCTCAGAAAAAAACAAATATTTTTCCTGCCATTTGCAAAAACATTTCCATCTGACTGGTAGATTATGAGACCTGTCCTTTAGGGGCAGGACAACCAAGAAATCATCAATTACTTGAAGTTTATAGCATTATGCATCCACCAATATCTTGACTGTCTCAAGAGGAAACCAAGTCATTAAGACCAACACAGAAGACCCTCAAATAATCAAGAAGTAAGACAGCATCTGTAGTGGCTAAGCAGTTAGATTCTGAAGCCAGATGCCTGAATGTGAATCTTGACTTTACCATTCCCATGCCTCCTCCAACTTGGAGCAAGTTGCTGGACCTTTCTGTATTTCAAGTTTCCCTTCAGTAAAGCAGCAGAAATAATAGTCCCTTCCTCTTAGGATTGCTATAAAGATTATAAAGTAAGTTAATAAATACAAAGTGCTTAGAACAGCACCTAGCATAGAGTAGGCACTCAATATTTAGTTGGCATTATTATTATAATCCATCATGTCATTTGGAGTTTAAAAAACCTTTTAAAATTTGAGTAGTTGCCAAGGACACTCTGTATAATGGTACGTAGGTATATAAGAGAAATATAAAGTTGGAGTAACCTCTAAAATTTTAAAAACAGATCTGGCTACTCAAGGAGACTCCTTCAGAGAGCTCTCAGATGGCAACACACTTGAGGATAGTGAATCTGGAATTATGTTAACATATTGGAAGCTTCCATGGAGGCTGCAATGCTGAAAGAGCAATTTGAATAGTAGACTTCCAAAACTGTCAAAGAAATTGATGCTGTATCCCTACTTGCCAGAAAGGGGCTTATGCAACACCTTTGGACTGCATATAAGAGGAACTACTTGGGGGGGTTTCATGAAATCTATAACTGAAGTGGCTCCTTCTTCTCTTCCTGTCAAGCTGGCCATTTTGACATCTATTAACTAATACATGTAAGTGGGGTAAAATTTGTTTTGATTATGATATCTGTTTAAATTGGCCTTCTGTGGCTGCTCATAATTTCAGTTAAACTATGTGCTTTTAGCATTTACTAGACTGGAGGTGGATTCTTTGGGGAAGACAAAAACAGAGGTTACAAGAAAGATTAAATTGTAGGTTATTATTATTTTTTTCATAATCAAATGGGGCACATAGAAAAGTTCTTTGTATTTATTCTTTTTTTTTTTTTTTTGCGGTACACGGGCCTCTCACTATTGTGGCCTCTCCCATTGTGGAGCACAGGCTCCGGACGCACAGGCTCAGCAACCATGGCTCACGGGCCCAGCCGCTCCACGGCATGTGGGATCTTCCCGGACCGGGGCACGAACCCGTGTCCCCTGCATCGGCAAGCGGACTCTCAACCATTGCGCCACCAGGGAAGCACTGTATTTATTCTTATATTTGGTGACTGGTCATTTGTGCAGTTTTGGAGGGTATCTTTGAATTTAATTTATTGGCACGCTTATGTAGACCTCAGTTATCTGAACTGATTTCTGTCTAGTCATTAGTAGATTGCTTGCCTATGTTTCCTTATATTTTATGTACAAATATCTAGGCAGGAGCCTATTCAGGGTTTGCAGTTCATTGTTATTGAAGCTGTCTGTGGATTCTATGTTTAACCATCAATGATTTCTCAAGCTGGCAGCTTTTATGAAAAGAACTAAATCCAAATTTGGCCCTGGATTGAAAAAAGCAGAGTTCCTAAATAGTTAATGTGTATGATACACTTAATAGTATTATCAACCTTTAACTAGCAATTATCCTTCTGGGAATGTAGTCATACAGTGTAAATGATTGAAGAAGAGAATGTCATATGCTCAAATGTATTCACAACAGTCACAATAGCAAGAGGTTGGAAGGTCTAACAATAAAATAATGGGTAAATAGAGTATATGTCATTAGGATGGACTCTTAAGTCATTAAAAATGATCACGATGAAGGCAGTGTAGAATTATGGGGAAATGTTTCTTACATAATATTAAGTAAAAGAGGCAGAATATAAATGGTATGTTGATTGTTAAGGCAGATATAAACAATAAATGCATTTGGACCGACTGAAAATAACTACTTGGTGGTGGGAATGTGAGTAATTTAACTATACTTTCTTCATTTTTTTTTAAAACCAAAAAAGAGAAAGTAAAGAGTTTTAAATAGCATGATCATATTATTCGAGAGCCAAATTCCTCATTTATTTTTCATGGATTTGTAAAAATGACAGCTTGTATGTTAACTCAACTTGAGGTTTAGCCCAGGAACCTCATTTGTTTGCCTCAATAGATTCACTGTATCTTGATTTTTAAAATAAATTCTATGAAAATTCCAATGCCAACTGGTCTGCTATCTTTATTAATATGAAAAGATCGCATGGGTGAAAGATACCATAATCAGAGATAAGCAGAAAAAGCACGGAATAAAATGTGGAGCATCTACCAAAAGATATGAAGGCCTTTTGAAGAGTTGTTCCTAATTCATATATATAAGTTAGAGTTTTATGGTAAATATACAGATAATACAGAACATTTTCACATTCTTAAATTTTACTTACAAACTAAATCTTTTACATTATATTGAAAAGACATAGCCTTAGTCAGTTGTGAGAAATGGCTGCAAAAAACCCCACAATTCAATCCCCAAATTTATTAACAAGTCCTGTTGCAGTAATGCCTGTTAAAAAATGTCAGCTGAAGGCAGAAGGAATTTGTGAAATTCTGGTCTCCTTTGTATTTATTCTTCAGCAGTGACTGAAGAGAAGGAGGTCTAATATTCTTAGGTACAGACCTCTCGAGCATGAGGCAAGATGTGGTCCATTTAGGGCAGGGCTGTGAGTGAGCACCCTTGGGATTTGCATGCTCCCTAACCTGGGAATGCAGTAGATACTAAGGGGCCTGGCAGGGTCTTCTGTGTTCTTGGGCATAAAACTCTCTCAGAGGAGCCTTAAAGAGGCTGTCTTCTCAAATGTTAAGCACTTGGGGGTCTCTTAAAATACCTATTCTGACTGAGTAGGTTTGGGGTAGGGACTGAGATTCTACATTTTTAACAAGTTCTCAGGTGATGCTGATGCTGTTGGTCTGCAGAGTGCAATTTTGCGTAATACAACTCTAAGCTCAGCTTACTTGAGGAAAAAAAGGTGATGCAGGGAATCTCCTGCTTAATCTTTGCTTCCCATATTATTTCTAAGACTGGAAGCTAATCTTTGGACAAGGAAGCAAGCCACTGGCGTGGACTTCAATGTAAAAAGAAGTGTTATTACATACTGGAATAATTTCTTACAATTTTAGCTTATCACTCTGGTGTCCAGAAAGATCAGTACTGGTAACTAAGAAATATACTCTATAACTCATATGTTGAAGTTTTAAGCATTGCTATATGCCCACCAGCTTTTTGGAATGTTACTGTCCTAACATTATGCTGTGTGGTCATCTATTTAGTTAGATGTTTTTAAAATTTTCTTTGGAATTTTCAAATTTCATTTACAGGCCTCTTTATAAAACCCCTCTCTGATTCTTCTGGGGTGGCCCTTGTATATATGATATGTAAAATGTCAAAGTAGTTGGTATTTAATAACTGGCAATTATCTTTAGGTTTATTTTTAGTAATTATCTTAAGATTTATTTTAAATTTTTATTTATTTTTTATTTTATTTATTTATTTATTTTGGCTGTGTTGGGTCTTCATTGCTGCGCGTGGGCTTTGTCTAGTTGCAGTGAGCGGGGGCTACTCTTTGTTGCAGTGCGCGGGCTTCTCATTGCGGTGGCTTCTCTTTGCTGCAGAGCACGGGCTCTAGGCACATGGGCTTCAGTAGTTGTGGCTCGCGGGCTCTAGAGTGCAGGCTCAGTAGTTGTGGCGCACGGGCTTAGTTGCTCCACGGCATGTGGGATCTTCCCAGACCAGGGCTCGAACCTGAGTCCCCTGCATTGGCAGGTGGATTCTTAACCACTGCGCCACCAGGGAAGACCCAAGATTTATTTTAAAATTAAAATTAATATCATGGGCAGGAAGCTTCTTGGTTTTCACTGATCTTCCCAAGTAAGTTAAAACTAAGCACTATCTGGCATATATATACAATGGAATATTACTCAACCATAAAAAGGAACGAAATTGAGTTATTTGTAATGAGGTGGATGGACCTAGAGTCTGTCATACAGAGTAAAGTAAATCAGAAAGAGAAAAACAAATACCAGATGCTAACACACATATATGGAATCTAAAAAAACGGTACTGATGAACCTAGTGTCAGGGCAGGAATACATACGCAGGCATAGAGAATGGACTTGAGGACACGGGGTGGGGAAGGGGAAGCTGGGATGAAGTGAGAGAGTAGCATTGACATATATACACTACCAAATGTAAAATGGATAGCTAGTGGG